TTGCTCATGGCGACATTGGCAGTGCCTAGATCAGGGCCTGGCACAGGGTAAACTTTTTAAGATTTTTCTATTTCCTTTCTTTTTTTTTACATCTTTTTTTCATCATCCAGAATTTATAGACAAAAAATAATATTGTTGTTGGGCACCCTTTGGCTTTCTCCATATTTCTTTGGAGAATAAGAGCTGTAGCCTGATGGAAGGGGGAAGGGAGACCTTGAACATCAAGCCGTGTGACTTGTGTCCTCAGGGAAGACGACGGATCCACGCTGGGGGTGAGGCAGCTCTTCTCCGACTGTGGTACTCCGCTTTGGGACACCCGCCACGCCCGAGAGCAAGGCTCGAGGGGAAAGTTGAGGGAGTTTTTGGTGAAGACCTTGGACAGCTCCTTGCGTCCCTTTCGCTTGAATCTTTGCATCAAAGCATCTTTGGTCTGTTAAAAGGGCACTAAATCCCCGGATGAATGGCCACTGTGTTCAAAAGTATCCAGAATAAATTTAATTTAATTTGTTGACTGAATGACTGAAAGGACGGGGTTGCATTTTTGGTCCATTATTGCCTGGCCACTTCCTATACTATAATTATTTCAAGGAATGCCTCTGAACCAGGTCTCTTCTCTCTTTGTCATCCCAGCACCCGTTCCTCCTACTTCCTCAGTGAGGTTTGTAGCCTCTCACCCTCCTGGGGGAAATGAGTCATTTGGCAGCCTTCAGTTTGGTTTTCTGCTAAAGAAAATGAAAATCCTCACAGAGGGGCCAACAGACAACATGATGACAAACGGAGAAGACGTGAGCCGTGAGGATTTCGTTGCACTGGGAAGCAGTGATTAAGATTGCAAGGACCGATCTGCTACACAAGATCTCTGCCCAGAGTGGCAGAGCCAGGCCGTCGTCGCTCTGAGGACGAAGCTCTGCCTGACCTGGCTGTGGTCTTGTCAGTGGCCTCCTCTGCCTGTGGACGTTGGACCAGGAACGGAGACACCAGCAGAAGAGGTGATGCACCTGAACTGCGGTGCTGGTGAAGAAGAGCCAATGTGCCGCGGACTGCCAGGAGAACAGGCAAATCCGTCTTGGCAAAGGTACAGCCAGAATGTTCCTTGGAAGCAAGGACAGTGAGACTGGTCTCATGTGCTCTGGCCATGTTGTCAGGAGAGATCAGTCCTGGAGAAGGACATCCTGTGTGGTGGAGGTGAGGGTCAGCGCAGAAGAGGAGGACTCTCACTGAGAAAGAGCGACAGTGGCTGCAATGTGGGCTGACACATAACAGCAAGTACGTGTTTAGTGCAGGACCAGGCGGCGCTTGTCCTGCTGTCCCAGGGTCCTTATGAGTCAGAACTGACACCATGGCCAACAACAACAACAACAACAACAACAACAACAACATGTGTTTAAGGAGTCCTGGCGGTGCTCTTGGGTAAGCGCTGGATTGCGAATCACAAAGTGGACCATTCAATCTCACCTGCTACTTATTGAGAGAAAGATAAGGCTTTCTGTTCCTTTAAAACAGTGCTTCTTAACCTTCCTTGGGCCGTGGCCCTTTCATACAGTTCCTCATGTGGTGGTGACCCCCCAACCCTAACATGATTGCCGTTGCTACTTCATCACTGTCATTTTGCTACTGTTATGAATTGGGCGACCCCTGTGAAAGGGTCGTTCGACCCGCAAGGGGGTCTCGACCCACAGGTTGAGAACTGCTACTTTAAAGAGTCACAACCATGGAAACCCTACATAGGGTCACCATGTGTATGAACTGACTCGATGGCAGTGGGTGTAGGTATGTTTGGGAGTCTCTGGGAGGCCATAGGCATTTGATGACTAACCGAAAGGTTGGTGGTTCAAACCCACTCAAGAGCACATTGGAAGAACACCTTGGCGATCTGCTTCTGAAAGGGCCCAGCTGGGACACCTCCGTGGTGCACATGTCTACTCTGCACACGTGGAGTCGTCGTCACGGATGGGCAGGGGCTTTTTGCTGCGTGCTTTGACGTGGTGCATTCAGCTACCATGCGATGCTGTCACTGAAGACACCCGAGCTCCCTGACACCAGGGGCACTTTGTAAGTTCGGGCGAGAGTTTGCTCTAGGGTAAAACTAGAAGTTCTGAGTTATTGATCAAGAGGGAGCCTAACTTCCCTTTTCTTAAAAGATCAGTCTTTGACTTGGAAAGAACTGGAAAACAGACCACCTGGTAATCTTTGAGAAATTTCACAGGTGAAGATAACATTTAATGGAAACACATGCGATTCTCAACAGCACATCCCTCCTCCGCCCCCTGCATTCGGTTCAAAGGGCAAACTACGACATTCTGAAGAGAGTTGTGGGGCCACGCACTTACTTTTGCTTGATAAAGTCACCAATTCCTGAACAATTTCATTACGTGAACTCTGGTTTTCATTGGACTTCCCCAGTAGCCCCAGGCCTTTCCCTGGCTCCATTCCTCAGTCACTCTCAGCCCTTTCGTTGCCCGTGCCTGCTCTACTCTCCATATTTTTAAATACTCTTTCTTTTGCACACCCCCTGCCATCCCCCAACGTTGGCATGGCATTTCCACGGATGAAGGAATGAGATTCCCATTCCAGTCCTAAAACTAGGCTGCCCGAGGACAAGAAGCAGCCCCCCAAGGCTGGTTCCAGTCACAGGAACAGTCAAAGGGAGAGGAACGGAAGTCTCTAGAGCCTCGATTTCCTCTGTATTTAGGGTTATGGAAACCTTGGCAGGGACTCTGCCCACTGGGGTAAGTCACTGTTCATTCTGTGCTTGCCAAAGGGTGGTCAGGAGTTCAGGTAGATGGGCCTTGTCAATGTGATCTGCCCCAGCAGTAAAGAAGGCTGCTGGGAACTCTGCCTGGAGTGTACTCATTTACCAGACCCCATGGAGAAGGAGCACACGTTCCCTGGGAAGCTCTTGCTTTAGGCAGAGAACAGGATAACCACGCGTCTCTGTGGACGGCAACTGGCTGCCTGCCGTCCACACTGCTAATCACACATGCTTCACACTGCTAATCACACATGCTAAGGCAAATGCTCATCGCCAGCAATCAGGGGCTAGGGGCACTGCTGTGACTCAGGGTGAGAGAAGAGCAGATGTCCCAATTCCTATGTAAGAGGCAAGGGTTCTTTGTGTGTGTGTGTGTGTGTGTGTGTCTAAAGGCTGGCTTATCTATTTAGCACCCTACTTAGTGCCACAAACGAATCACCTACTCTTCATTGCCATCTACAACATCATAAAAGCTGCCCAGCTTTGTTCCAGAAAGGCCCTCAATGGCCTCATTGCTCATTGTTATAATCCATCAAAGGCCCTGTCTTCCAACTTGCAAGACTACTTCGTCGCACGTGAAGGCCTCTTTGGATGATTAAATTATGTTGTTCCAGTCCCTTGTTAGCTGTGTGTTTTAATTTTGCATTTGCACCTTGAGCAGAGTTATCAGAAAGGGGTAATGGATACGTGTATGAAGTCAGTCTTTGACATGAGTGAGTAGAGAATCTGGGGCATGCCTCGAAGGCCTGTCCTCTGATCCCATCTTCTCTCCTTCTATCGATCCCTCTTCCTTCTCTCAGACTTCCCGTTCGAACTCAGACACACAGGAGTCAATCAGAAAGTTTAAGCACCATGGGTATAATGAATTCCTGCTCACAAGGCCAAGACATGTGGCCCATTCGCTTCACATATATAATTGTTAAAATAGATATGTATACATACCCCTAGAGAGGGGGTTTTAAACCTCTAAGGGGAAAGCCTTATTTTTTTCCTGCAGGGGGTGGCAAGTTGTCCTTACCACCTCACAGCGTTTCTGGCTTCCTCAAGGAGAGATGCGTTTGATCACTAATCCTGCTCTCCCTCGGACCCCCCCCACCACCCTGAGCCTCAGTTGTCTCCCTTTGCACGTAGGGGAAATTGCTAGCTTCTTGCCTCTACCTGCAGGATCAAATAATGTCCTGGCTAGCTAGTGAACCTGTTTGGCTCCTTGACTATGCTGGATGCTTGAGGTTTAGGAGTAAACATGTTAACGTAGGCTCCTTGAGAGTACAGGCATGTACCTACTCCAACATGCAAGCCCAACGGGAAAACAGTATTGCACACAGAACACAAAGTATGGTTAGAGCCGCAACGGACTAAGGCCAAATGGAATATACAGAGACGAGGTTCCCAAGGATTCTCAAATTTAGTATGCATCGCAGTCACCTGGAGGGCTTGCTGACACAGATTTGTGGGCCGCGCCCCCAGAGTTTTGGAATAAGTAGGCCTGGGGAGGCCCCAACATCTCAGAAGGTCTCAGATGTTGTCGACAATGCACACTTTGAGACGCAGGCAGCACATCTGACAAGAGCCCGGATGCCCATAGGTCATCCCCTTTTGTACATACAGTACCATTTCCATCCTTGAGACCGACGATCCGACACCCTGCCCAGGGAAGACCCAGAGGAAGGAATCCATTTCTGTGATCTAATTGTGCACTGACAGATTCCTGGGGGCCTCCCCAGCCCTTCCACTTCACATTTCCCAGGATCTCTGAACCTAATCTCATCCAGAGAAGCCTTTGGCTGCTTTTCCCATGAGGAGAAGCCCAGGGAGCCTGGCAATCTAGTGGGAAGGAGAAAGAGACTCTTGTGCAGGCGGCTAAGTGTCTCCGGTAGTTGGTTGGCTGGACACAGGTCCAAGGAGGCTGCTCTCCTGCCTCCAAAGGCGAATGCCAGAGAAGGCAGCAAGCTGCTTTTGAAATGCATCCCCTTCATGAACTCTTAAGCAGCAGGGCCCAATCACCTTCCTCCCCTTTAACATCATCTATTAGGGTCAAAGGTTCTGAAAAGAACCCGAGGTGTCAGGGCCCAGGGGAAGGATTTCGCAACGGTGACTCCTTTCCGGCAGCAGATGATTCTAGTCAAGGAGACGCGCCTTGCTCCCTGAAGAAAAGCCAGGGGCTGGCCAGGCAGGTGGGTGGCGAACGTGTTAGGGTGCCCCCTCTCCCTTCCAGAGCCCAGCCCAAAGACAGAAGAAGGCTGCTCACTGTTCCGGGGTTTCTCCTCATCCATGCCTTCATCCTCGTTCTCGGGGTCGATGTCTTCTGCCTGCGTGATCCAGTCCAGGTAACCTTTCAGGTCTTCCTCCAGTTGCTGCTTCTCTCGCAGCTTCTGGAAATCTCCCCGAGCCTTGGCCTTCTCCCTCTCTTTGGAAAACTCTCTGTTGAGAGAGGGGGGCACGGGCAAGGGGGAGAGGACATGGAAGGAGGGGGAGAAGTGGGAACGAGAGGAAAGGTGGAGATAAGGAAAAAGACAAGAGTTAATGATCGTGCATTAGAAAAACGCCCTGCCCGCAAGCTCTAGTTTCTACGGAGAGTATTCTCCGGTTCTCCCAGTCCTTAGCTCTCCCCTTCATTCCTATAGAAACAGACAAGAGCCACTGAATGGGGTCTTTTTGACCTGGCCTAGGAGAGGATAAGGAGACAGAGAGTCCATGTCCCCCCCCTTTCCTGGATCACGGCCAGAGCCTTGGTCTGTTAACAAGACTGTGGTCTCTAAATAACTGTGAACCCTTTCTGAGCAGCGACTAAGAGCCCCACAGCAGTTGTGCACCACCTCTCTAGGGGTGTGGCAAGTGCAAAACCTCCTGAGGACCCCGGGGGACCAAAGGAACGTGGAGCAGCGTACAAGGAAGCTGCTCACTTGCACTGCCTCCTGCGAGCCCACTGTGTGCATCGCCTCCCACTTCCAGTTCCCGTGAGAGTATGCTTGAAATCAGCCATGGTGGGAATAACCAAACCATGGGAATTGGCAAATGCTAAGAACCGAGGTTTTTCCCCAGGAGGGCCTGTTGCCAACTAGTTACCAGTATACCACTGATTGTGAACCTGGGACATTTAATCTCCCCAATGTCTGTTCTCATTACCAGGGCCCACCCTGCCGTGTTCGCATGCCTGGAAGGATCTCCAGTCAAGGCAAGGTTCTTTCCCACAGGGAGACAAACGAGGATTCCAAACACAAGAAAATGTCCTTGGGCTGCCCTTTCGGTCAACAAAAAAATCCAACTGCACTATAAACATACACAAAAATCAAGCTACAATAAAAGTGAAATGATGCATTCAGTTTAAAACGATAACGAGCAGTTGGAAATGGGTTGGGATTTGCTGGAAGAAAGGCCTCTTGAAAAACAATTTACTGACAGAATGAGACTGGTTCTTTTCTGTGGTCTGTGGGCAATGGTCCTGGGTGTGGAGTGTGTGTGTGTGAGTGTGTGCGTGCGTGTGCGTGCGCATCCCTCTTGGCTAGTCCTTGGAGCAATGAGGGTCTAGTACATTGCAAGAGTCTGAAAAAAGTATCTTGTCAGAATTTCATCCATAAGCCAGCCATTCTAAATCAGTGGTTCTCAACCTGTGGGTTGAGACCCCTTTGGGGATCAAGCGACCCTTTCAAAGGGGTCATCCAATTCATAACAGTAGAAAAATGACACTGATGAAGTAGCAATGAAGTTAATTTTCATGGTTGGGGGTCACCACCACATGAGGAACTGTAGTAAAGGGTCGCAGCGTGAGGAAGGTGGAGAACCACTGTGGAGGCAAGGCAGCTTGGGAAGGAAAGACCACGCCACCAAAGCATACGGGGACAAGAGGCTTGGCCCTTGGCCAGGGAGGGGCAGCTCTGTCCCCACTCACGTGTTAGTGTTTGCCTGTGGTCTGTGTGGCTTAGGAGAGCACCGGTTTTAGCTTTCGCTCATTCCGTGGTGGAATGGGGTTGGGGCTGGGGAGCTTTTTAATTGGGAGATCGAGGGACTCTAAAGTTAATGAGGTCTCTTCAACTGCTGCTTTAATGATGCTTTGGCTTGGATTGAATTTTCTTCTAAAATTTGATTGAATCCAATTCTAATTGGATTGAACTTGCTCTTTCGCTGGCTCCCTGCCAACTGGCAGGTACCTTCTTTCCTTCCAGGGAGTTCCACGCCGGAGATGGACAGCTAGCCATGAGGATGGACGCCGTGCCTGGCTGTGCTGGGGATGGGCTCGCAAAGATGCCTGCTCCCCCTCCATCTGACCTTGTATTCCGTACCTGGTTAGCTCTCCATGGGCCATGCGACACTTATTCTCTGGAGACCTAAAGAGGAGCTTCCCGCCCTAGGTAAATCAACGCAAAACACCTCCTTGACAGCACTGGGTTTGTTTTTCGTGTCCAGCCTGCAGCCCCTGTCCCTGGGGTATGCTGGCATCAGTTAAGTTTCTCAGAGAGGAGACAGGGAGGTTCTGAAATACCCCCTTCCACTGTGTGAAGTTGAGTGACACGGTACTGTGAAAATTCAAATGCGTGGACCTTCTACTCCACGAGGGGAACAAAAGTGTTTCAAGACTGGCCTCTCTTGACTCTCTTTCCCCTCCTGCCCACTTGCATTCCCCACTCCATTCCTGTGAAGCGAGGTTGAGGCTGCGAGGTCACCGAGGAGCTGAGGATTTGAGTTCTGGTGACCAAACGGTGGGAGGAGGATTGAGATAAAAGGGCAGCAGGGACAGTTGAACTTGTCTGGTTTCGCAGCAGCACCCAGGTGATTGCTTGCCATGAAGGCTAGCCATCGAGCACAACATACACAGGGAGATGTGTGGATGCATCCGATTGACGTTAAGATATTTCCTCTTAGGGGGGGGGGGCATGAGGGAGTGGAGGCGTGGCAGGGTCAGATCGGAAGCTCCCAGGGAGCTGGTGGCAGGCTGAGGGATGAGTGAGACTTTCCTCACCAGACCCCACACGGTTGGTGATTCTCCAGGTGGCTGTGCCTGGCTCTCTTTATCTCCATGCTTGGATGCCGGCCATGTGCTGCTCTGGGGACGGAGCTAATGAAGATGCGAAGCCCCAGCCTGATGCGCTGCACTGGGCCGAGGGACTGGAGCTGGCTATATCATCAGTCACAGCTATGGGATTTGTCACCAGGCGGGAGCACATCTCTTGCCAGCAATGGCCAGTGTGACATAGGAGGGGTGGAGTGGAAAGCTAGGGGCTGGTGCTCAGTGCTGTCAAGCAGGCAGAGGGAGGGGGTGTACAGAAAAAGCCAGCCCGTGCAGGCGCCGGGGTCGCAGGCCGTGTGGAAGTCGTGCAGGTTGCCGTCTCTGCTGCTCCCACCTGTCAGGCAGGCCTTGCTCGCACTTTCTTCCGGACCGGATGTTCCATCTTCACTGTGGTGCCCTAGTCGGACTTCCAGTGCATGCCTCAGGTTGCAACATGCCTGCCCACCAGGCCCTGCGCTTTGTGGGGGACAGAGGTGTTCCCCCTTCCAAGTGGTGGGAAAAGGATGGGGTGATCTGTCACCTGAAAGACCCTCAGCTCCAGCTGAGCGTCCAGCTTCAAGCGCAGTTTCCAGAACCTCCGAGGCCCTGTGCTTGGGGTCGTCCTAGCAGGCTGCGGATTGAGGTGGAGATGGAAGGGGAAGGGCGGGGCAATCAGATGCCCCCTGTGCTACCACCAGCCCCGCAACTTGCATAAGGTTGGTGTGAGAACCAGCCCATGAGGACCATGGAAAGCTTTTTCGGGGGAAAAAAAACTTTTTTTGGGATAGGGAACGACTGCACGCTCTTTATCCAGCCTTCTCAGAAAGACAGTGTTCTGGATAAGCGAATGTTCCAGACACAGGGCAGGTAACCTCCCACCCCCAGCCCAGCCCCATGACCAACTTTTAAAAATGTCCGCCTCTTAAGTGGAACAGACAGCACCAAGCACGACAGGGCCTTGTTTGGGTGACTGCAGGATATGCTCCATGAGGCTCAGTCACTGTGCTGGGCTGAGAGATGTCACCATTCTGAATTGAATGTGACTCAGGCACAGAACCTCGAACACTGCAGAACTACTGAGTCGATGGCTCTGCTCTCTCTCTCTCTATTAAGGTCTATAGAGCTGCTCGCCCCAAGCTAAACAACCCTTCCCTGCTGCAGG